ATTAGTTTTGCTCTTTGTCTCTATACTATCCATTTAGAGACCTATATTAATGACGTATTATGTTCCAAAATAAAATTATAGGAAAATCGAAATGGAGGGTATTCCCGTTCGATTTTCTTTGAGCTCTGGTGCCTCAGTATTCCCCACACACCTTACTTTTTCACAACTTTGACGGTATTCGCTTGTCAAGAGTTTCTATTAATGCTGACGATGATAATTGGTGTAAATAATTGGGTCCGGTTTAATTTTAAGGATTTCCCTTCGTTCTGGGTAAACATTAGCCCGATCGAGAAATTCTACAATACGAACAGGAAAACTAGGGGCGAAAAGGATTTGTCATGGAAAATTAATACTTATCAAACTTGTGTGTATCAGTTCAAATTTATTTATTATTTATCTATTAGCAATATTCATGCAGGCTAGCTCAGTTCAATCGATCCGGTTTGAATGGGGGCCTGCTTAATAATAATTATAAAAAAAACGTATTGAGAAATATAAAATACATAAGGGGTTCACGAACAAGTTAAAAATCACAATTAATCGTTTGTCAATACCTTTAGATTCCTTGCACGAAAGTTTACAACCGAGCATAAATATACAGATGACATCTCGGATAGCAATAAAATGAAAATAGTCTCCTAAAACCAACCCTTTACACATACTAAGGCACCCCAGGTAAGAGGATATTTGTCATTGGTCAGCGATGACAACTGTTTAAGGCTTGTTTATAACATCGTCTGGAGAAGTCAAGACATTTTCCTTCTCAAACAGAAGACCATTGGCGATGTCTTCTCGCAAAGTAAAACTTCCTTTATAAACTTCGTAATTAAAGAGCAGCCTACGTGGGGGAAAGAATGAGCTTTCGATCAGAACGAAGAGTGATCGAATTTGAAGATTCAGTACCATCCACATTTATTTACGTTTCTCTCAAAAATGCTTGAAAACACTTACCACGCTTTTAGTCTAGAATAAAAAGGAACTGATATTGTTTTTCTTTTTTTCGAATTTAGGATCTCAAGATCTTCGTGTTCCTTTCTTTTGGAACTAGACATGTCTTCTTTCGAATATGTCTGGAAAACCCTCCTATCTCACGGTCTGACGATTTGAATAACATACTGTCGTCTTTCCGCAATAGGAACCTTCAGCACTGACGACGAGAACGAGGACGACGACGTATATGACCGATTTAGGCCTGGGACGGGACCGTCGTCCACGGCGGGAAACATGAATGCTTTAGCACATCGGTTACGTGGACAAGTCTATTACTGCTAATTTGAAAATGCAAAAATTATCCACTAAAACAATTTAACTTTTTTTCAGTGTTGTTATCAACGTCAAGTGATTCAGAGCTAAGCTAAGTTTACATACACAGTCGATCCGAGCGGTTCGGACATTTTTCAAAGCCCAGAAATCTTTTTAAAAATGCCAGCTGGTATAAATTACAAAACTACAACGAAATATCCGCGATTTATATTTAGAAAAGCATTTATATGGCTACGTAAATACCCTGCAGCACTTTTATCATCATCCGCCATTGCTTTCTCCGCTGTAAACTGTAAAGCTCAATCTGCAACTCGAAAGAAATAGAGTTTTTTTCCATCACGGTTCGATCAAATTACTTTCGGCACTGTTTTTATTCCCTAACCGACCCCTTAGATTGAAGAAATCCCTTAGATAGGTAAGTAGAAATTAGAAAACAAATAAAACATACTCACGTTCTCGTCAAGACGGCGGATGGCGGCCAATGGCATCCTGAACGCCATGTGGGCATGCGTGCTAGCATCGAAGTTCTTTTTCCCAACTTCCGGTCGGTCACGTTCACGTTCTCGTCGTCACAGCTAAAGGTCCCTATGTCATGGGTCAGCGATGACGATGATTTTTACAAATATCCTCTTACCCGGGGTACCTTAGTATGCGTGAAGGGTTGGTGCAAGAAGACTATGGGGAGGACCCGTTGAGAGAGATTTGACTAGGGTCCAGGTTGACCACGCACTAACGGTCTCTCAGCTGGACAAGATGTTCCTTCCACGCATTAGAAGAATTCAAAACGGCCGTTAATTTGAAATTCTCGCTGGATTGGTTGCTCGACAAACCAACTTTTGTGGGATGTTTTTCGATGAACTTAAAGGGCAACTATTTGGCTTTCGTGCTGCCAAGTTTTGATTCGAGGGAAAGTATTTAAGTGTTATTTTCGAGCGATTTTGGCGAGCATGTGTCAACAGAAGTTTCCTTCCTTCCCGTAACTTGTGCACGGTGACTCGGTGGTGATTAGGGCGTCAAGCTAAAACACATGCAAAAAGGCCTCAAATCGCGAGGAGAACAACACAGACTACTCTCTATGAAGGTAAGACTTTATTTCTTTGATTATTTTACCCAAATTTACATTCACGGAGCTCAAAAGCTTGTCCAGCTAAACCACTATATAAACTCTTTAATAATCCACTGTGAAAGAGCCTGTGACATGGCTTGGGCTACCTGTGATATTTTAAATAAAAGATGGATGTGTACAATGGTTGCGTTTTACTGCTGCTTTAGATGAGTCGAAAATGAGCTAAACCTCGTTCCCATGGCCTTTTTGCGTACTTGGAGGTGGCGGGGTTGGAAAAGGCCTTGGCATCGGGGACCCCACGCCCAAGTAAGGGAAAAGACAATGGGAACAAGGAAGTGTTGGCCTGGTCCTGTTCCACAGTGTTCGTATCTTAGATAGGTTCTGGCTTTTGGCTGTCATACAACCTCGTGGCAGTCATAGAATCGAATAGGAATGTCGTGTCCGTCTTGCTGAGAAAAAAAAAAAGCATTTAGAAAATGCCACGGAGAGTGAATTTTTCTCTTAAGACCTTTATTTAAAGGCTGCCCATCCCTACTCAGGTCAGCGGAAAAAAAAAACTCCGTGGGGTGGCTGTGGCCCCTCAGTCCCAGGTCTTTTCTCTTCCTCCCTCTAAATATTACTAAGGGGAGAGAAACCTGGGAATTAGATTGTCACCGCTTTCTTCATTTTCTGAATCCCGTACTTCCGCTTCATCGAAATTGTTGGTAAGTTGAATGGTCAACATGGAATTGTTGAAGGAGCATTTACTGGCGAAATACTTCAGTCCCTTTGGCTACATTGTCGCTGTTCTCCACTTTCCAGCTTCCTTGATTTTGGGTGCTCTCGCCGGACGCTTTAGAAAAAATGAACTTGGAATATTCAGTTGTCCGAATTCTTCTGATTCTCGTGACTACTGTTTGGGGAAATACAACGAACAGTACAATCCTCCTTTCCCTCTTTGGGGCTTTGTCCTGTTGCTTTTCTCTCTTTTGGTGGCTATTTGCCTCTCTTACTCCTGGTGCTGTGTGAAATCGCGTGTGGATGAGCTTGAAACAGCGTTAAAACCAGATCCTGAGAACCCCCGCCGCCGCCTACGAGTGAGAACTCGCCGCGTGTTCTGGTGTTACTTCAGCCATCTACTTTTGCGATTTTCTGTTGGGAGTTTGTTTGTACTGTTACAGTACTTTGTACTTTATCCAATCAGATTTTCATCTGAATTTCCTTGTGAAAAGAAATTCATGGCAAATGCGACAAAAGATCATTCTTCGGCCATTACTTGTAACAATTTCGAGGTCATTGCGATTATAATTTGGATAGTGAACTTGCTGTTTGCGTCGCTCGTTTTTGGAGAGATTTTTTTTCTCGGCTTTCAAGCGATTCGAAACAAAGAGTTCTCATTCGACTCAGAATTTTTTCAAAAGTACTTTTTCGGCAAGGGAGGCCCTTCAATTGCCACGCGTGAGGCAATGATCAAGATGAAAACACGAAAACTCGAGGAAACAAAACTATATCAACCTTTGATCGTTCTCTCCGAAGGCAACGAAGACAGAGCTCTTGATGACATGTATGTTGATCTTGTTCATGATTTACACGGGATTAGCGAGACACGAGTTTGAGGACAAGATGAAGAGACACGAAATATACGAAATCTATATGAAGCCTCAAGGTGAATCCATAGCCATAGGGAAGTTTAACGAGTTGTTTCTCCCCAACGATGATACGGAAAATCCGTGTAAAATTCTCGTGGTTGGCCGCCCAGGGATCGGAAAATCTCTTTTGTGTACAAAACTTTCGCGTGAGTGGAGCAAAGGTGGCTTGCTGCGTGAAAGTGACAAAAACTTCGACCATTTGTACTTAATTCAGTTCAGGAGGTTTAATACCGAAACTGCGGAGAACATTTCTCTCGTGGAATTGTTGAGTCGTTTACACCCAGAAGGCGTTAATGTTAATGATCAGATCCAGCAAGTTATAGATAATCCTGACAAAGTAATGCTTGTATTTGATGGCCTAGATGAGTTTAAATACCATGCAGATTGTTTAGGATATGAGCAAGTACTTGCAGGCAACAAAGAAACAGAACGATTGTCATTGTCTGTTTACTCTCTTTGTTACGATATTCTAATTTAATACTGAAATGAAAGAGAAAAAATCACATCTATCTTGCGCCCGATAAAGTTCAACCAAGCCTGAGCCATAATGTCTCTTGGTTCAACACACGTTTACCTTGCGCGTGCGAGCGTTCGGACTGCTAGGGACTGTATGCTGATTTCTTACTGTTGGAACTGTCCCCTGTTTCTTCACCATTTGTTTTGTCTCGAAGTGTTCGGAGCATATATGCAAGTTCTTTTTTCTCGAAGTGTTCGGAGTATATATGCAAGTTCTCGCGGTGGACGTGAACTCCTCATCAGAGCGACGACAGATGGCAATTCATTTCTTTCTGAGTCTCTCTTCGCCCGGAAACTCGAAAAAGTTAAGGTCCAGCTTATTTTAGAGTTCTTTTTACAAACCGAGACGGCACCAAACTTCACATTCCACCTTCAGTCACTCCGATCTGTTTTCAAAATAAGCGCGTATTTCCTCTCAGCCTCGACTTGGTGCTTAGTTTACTTTTTCCTCCCTAGTCAATCACGATGTATTCACGTGACTAAGCACATTGAATAATTACTTGATACTTCCGCTTAGTCGAAATTGCTAGCAAGTTGTGCAGTCAACATGGAGGTGGTGAAGGAGTATTTACTGGCGAAATACTTTGGTCGCTTTGGCTACATTGTAGCTGCTTTCCACCTTCCAGCTTTCTTGATTTTTTCTGCTTACACAGGACACTTCAGAACCAGTGAACGCCGAACATTGCGCTGTCCGTCTTTTCCTGATTCTCGTGAATACTGTTTGAGGAAATACGACGAGAAGTACAACTCTCCTTTCCCACTATACGGCTTTGTCATATTGTGTTTCGTTCCTTTGGTGGTTATTTGCATCTCTTACTCTTGGTGCTTTGTGAAATCGCGAGTCGATGAACTTGAAACAGCGTTAAAACCAGATCCTGAGAACCCCCGCCGCCGCCCACGATTGAGAACACGCCGAGTGTTTCGTTATTACCTTAGTCATCTATCTCTACGATTTTGTTTTGGGATTCTGTGTGTATTGTTACAGAAATTTGTATTTTATCCATCTGGATTTCCATCCGAATTCACCTGTGTTCATTGCGCAATAAATTGCACCTCAAATGCGACAAAAGATCATTCCTCGGCCATTAAGTGTAACAATTCCGTTGCATCAGATAACGAGGCCATTGCGTGGATAATTTGTATAGTGAACTTGCTGTTTGCGTCGCTCGTTTTGGGAGAGATTTGTTTTCTTATGTTTCAAGCGACTCGAAACAAAGAGTTCTCTTTCGACTCAGAATTTTGTCAAAAGCATTTTTTCGACATGGGAGGTCCTTTAATTGCCACGCGCGAGGCAATGTTCCGGATGAAAACACGAAAACTTGAGGAAACGGAACTGTACCAACCTTTGATCGTTTACTCCGAAGGCAATGAAGACAGATTGCTCGATGACATGTTTGTTGATCTTGTTATTTACACAGGAAGAGCGAGACACGAGTTTGAGAACAAGATGAAGAGACACGAAATACACGAAATCTATTTGAAGCCTCAAGGTGAATCCATAGCTATAGAGAGGATTGACGAGTTGTTTCTCCCCAACAATGATTCAGAAAATCCTTGTAAAATTCTCGTGGTTGGGCGCCCAGGGATCGGAAAATCCCTTTTGTGTACAAAACTTTTGCGTGAGTGGAGCAAGGGTGGCTTGTTGCGTGGTAGTGACAAAAACTTTGACCTTTTGTACTTAATTCAGTTCAGAAGGTTTAATACCGAAACTGCGGAGAACATTTCTCTAATAGAATTGTTAAGTTATTCGCACCCAGAAGGCATTAATGATAATGATCTGATCCAGCATGTTTTAGAGAATCCTGATAAAGTAATTCTTGTATTTGATGGCCTAGATGAGTTTAAATACCATGCAGATTGTTTAGCACATGAGCAAGTACTTGCAGGCAACAAAGAAACAGAACGATTGTCATTGTCTGCACTTTATGTGAAGCTGGTGAACGGAGACCTGCTTTCAGGGGCTACAGTCTTGACAACTAGTAGACCAACTGTGTTGCAAAGTGTTGCCCACATCAAATTTGACAGGAAGGTGGAGATAATGGGGTTTACTCCACAGAAAGTGCACAAGTATATTCAGAACTTTTGCGCACAAGATGAAGACAGGGGCAACAAAATCTGGGATCATATCAGCAGCAATCCAGAGTTACTTTCACTCTGCTATATTCCAGTGAACAGTCACATTATTTGCTCAATTTTTGAGGAGTGTTTCAAACTCCAAGAACGAAATGCTCTGCCAACAACTCCAAGAGAAGTTTACAAAAAAGCCCTAAGATTGTTCATCTTCAAGCATCATCCTGAATTTAGAGGTAAACCATTGACAGAAGATTTCCTTATGGGAAATAGTAAGCTCCCAGATACTGTAGAGGATACATTGAACAAAGCTGGGGCACTGGCAAAAGCAGGAATAGAGAAAGGTCAGCTGGTGTTTGAGTCACAAGAGGTGCAAGGAATAGAGGAGTGTGGTTTGTTTAACAGGATGCCAAACAAAAAACTTCAAGATAGTACATTCAAGTCTCAGTTCTGCTTTATTCATCTCATCTTTCAAGAGTTTCTTGCTGCAAGGGAAATTGCCAAGATGAAGCCCAATGAGCTCAGTGATTTTCTCAGGGCAAACCGGGCTCNCTCTGTGGGAAGCAGACTGAGGTAGTCAACACTTTTATCAGCATTCTTGTAGACTGGCCATCTGACCAGGAGGCTCTTCTCATGTTGAAATGTTTGCCTGAATACCATGATGAAGCCACTGTACAACAAGCTGCTTCAGAACTACAGAAGAACACTAAACTTGACAATAGTATTTCTTTCTTTGGTTGTCAGGTAACACCTGTTGATTGTGTGGCAATTTCGTATTTTATAAAGCATCTGCAAAGCCCCACTTCATTGACCCTTGAAATGAACAGTGTAACAAATCAAGGTGTATTACTCTTGTGTGATGCACTAAAAGATGAACATTGCAAACTCACTGGGTTGAACCTTGGTTGGAACAAGATTACAGACCAAGGTGTATCACACTTGTGTGATGCATTGAAAGATGAACATTGCAAACTCACTGAGTTGAACCTTGCTACGAACAAGATTACAGACCAAGGTGTATCACTCTTGTGTGATGCACTAAAAGATGAACATTGCAAACTCACTGAGTTGAATCTTGGTTGGAACAAGATTACAGACCAAGGTGTATCACACTTGTGTGAGGCATTAAAAGATGAACATTGTAAACTCATGAAGTTGGAACTTGCTGGGAACGAGATTAGAGACCATTGTGTACCACCCTTGTGTGATGCATTAAAAGATGAACATTGCAAACTCACTGTGTTGGGCTTTTTTTGTAACAATGTTACAGACCAAGGTGTATCGATCACTCTTGTGTGATGCATTAAAAGATGAACGTTGCAAACTCACTGAGTTGGACCTTGGTATAAACAACGTTACAGACCGAGGTGTATCACTCTTGTGTGATGCATTAAAAGATGAACATTGCAAACTCACTGAGTTGGACCTTGCTACAATCAAGGTTACAGACCATGGTGTATCACTCTTGTGTAATGCATTAAAAGATGAACATTGCAAACTCACTGAGTTGGACCTTGCTGAAAACAAGATTACAGACCAAGGTATATCACTCTTGTGTGATGCATTAAAAGATGAACATTGCAAACTTACTAAGTTGCGCCTTGCTGGGAACAAGATTACAGACCAGAGTGTATCACTCTTGTGTGATGCATTTAAAGATGAACATTGCAAACTCACTGAGTTGTACCTTGCACAAAACAAGATTACAGACCAAGGTATATCACTCTTGTGTGATGCATTAAACGATGAACATTGCAAACTTACTAAGTTGCACCTTGCTAGGAACAAGATTACAGACCAGAGTGTACCACCCTTGTGTGATGCGTTAAAAGATGAACATTGCAAACTCACTAAGTTGAGCCTTGAGGAGAACAAGATTACAGACCAAGGTAGATCACGCATATATGATGCAGTGAAGAATGGAAATTGTAAAGTTTTATTTTAATGCTGATACTGGGAAGTATGCCTCTGGCACTAAGTTGTTAACTCACTAAGTTGCTTTTCTATAATGTGTTTTCAGATGCAAATCATGGGTGGATTGGGAACCAGTCCAGAAAAGGCAGGCCTCCTTCCTTTTCTTGGGATTTTGCAGTTTTTTAATTTTATCTTTTCAGATGTTTGTCTATTTCATTCTGGCCTATTTTCATGTTTTCAAGAGGGGGGTAGGGGACAGGGGCTTATTTTATTTATGGTCATGCCTAAAGTTCTTTATTATTTATTGAAAGGCATCCCAAGCTCATGTCTCGAGAAAAGCAAAGTATAAAGTATTGTACATGTATATATCAGGTATTTATTCATAAAGGCATCATGTATTGCATGACATGGTGTTAAGTTATTCAAGAAACTGCTGAAAATTTTAACATGTTACAAGGAATAGTACACGGGGAAAAAAATATGGTTGATTTACAATTCTTAATATTCTGAAATATGAACATTTTACATGTAAGATTAACAAAACTGACTCACTTCTTGGAAAACATCTCCAAAATAACTATATATTTTTAACAAACAATTTGGAAATTATATTTCTAATTCCAATTTGGTTTTCCTAAATATGGGTACATCTTTCAGCATTTATCTCATTCTGTAAATAATCAAGGAAGGATCCATGAGTATACAATATCTAGGAGTAACAGAGGTTGATCGAATAAAAGAAAATTTTTAGCTTATTATTTTTTTTTCTCTCGTAATAGTAGTGATGCTTTTTATTGTGTGACAAAGAATAATTTTTCCTTTGTAATTGGTTTTTTCTTTTTCTGTTTGTCTTATTAAGAATTGTTTCATGCTTAGCGTGCGTATATCAAGTTATGGATACACGCGGGGAGTTTGGAGACAGTGGG